CTCTATCATGTTCACCTCAGAGGGTTCTGCATAGTGGGCTTCAGCCTTCAGTGGATTGGAGTCGACAGCCATGGGGGATTTGTCAGCAAACTTTAATCTCCCTTCCTCAATAGCGTCTTGCACAAGATTCCTGAAAAGAAAACATTGAGAAGTTTTATGGCCCAGAAAATTATGATATTTGCAAAAACCTCTCTTCTTTCTTTGATCAAGAGGAGGCACTTTTACCCCAGGGGGTACTATCATTTGGCCATCTTTAACTAGCAAGTCGAATATTTCATCACATTTTGTGATGTCAAAACTATAAGTCTTTTTTGGGAACCTATCGTTGGTCCTGTCTGGACCAATGGGATTTTTCCCATTTGAGGGGACTAACTGTTTACAAGAGTATGGAGGCCCTTGTTTTAGTTCTGCTAAATCGACTTCTCCTTCTTCGACAGTTAAAGTATCGTCGAAGGATTCTAGATCTTCGTCATCCATCTCAACGTACGCTATTCTTTCTCTCTTGTGAGTTTTTGTTGCCTTAGCTTTTTCAGCTTTGAGGCGTTCGACCTGTCGAACTCTATCGGCCAGTTGGGCCATGTCTCTTAGGTACTGGGTATCTAGCTTCTTCCTAATGGAATAATCTAAACCGCCTGCGGCCATTTCGACCAACTCATGTTCTGGCACTTGTGTAAAACATCTCGCCTTAAGCAACCTAAACCTATTCAGATATTCGTCTATAGGTTCAGTGAAACGTCTCTTCACACTGGCCAGTTCTTTCAGGCTTATCTTGGTTTGCCCCATATAGAATTGTTCATGGAACAATCTTTCCAACTGGGTCCAATGATGGATCGAATTGGGGGGTAGAGTTGTGAACCAAGTAAAAGCGTTCTTGGTTAAGGAACTTGGGAAGTACTTGATCCTTAGGTTTTCATTATTTGAAATGTCTCCTGCTTCGATCAAATACCTCGCCACATGTTCGACAGTAGATTCTGTCGTGTCCCCAGAGAACTTAGTAAATTTGGGGACTTTGCTCCTAGGAGGTAAATCCGTTTGTAGCACGTATTCTGACAAAGGAGATGTAAAGTTGGGCCTTCGAAAGCCCATGTTCATCCCATTCTGAGTCATGATCCTTTCGATCATGGTTGCCAGATTGTTTTCCAAACCCATGTTTTGGTATTGGGTATGCTGAACTACTTCGTCAGCATTTTGGTTTCTGTTGACTAACCTTACCTCTGGGGCTATTACCCTAGGCTCTTCGACAGGTTGTTCCAACCGTGCCCTAAGGTTTTCTTCGACAGGCTGTTGGGCCTGGTTAATGGTGGTTTCTTCCTCTACAAATATCCCCTGATTTCCCCTTATTTGCGCCCTTTGGGGCTGTCGAATAGGTGGGGGTACTCCAAAGAAGTCAGCCAAACGCGTCATTTGCGCTGTAACTTGCTGATTCGATTGAGTAGTATTTTGTATTAGAGGATTTAGCACTGTACTCAAAGTTTGTGCCAACATTTGCACCATATCATGGTTGCTTTCGTCCATTTGTTGCCTCAAGACTGCTGTCGAGGCATTTGTAAGGCCATGGGCTACTTGGGACGTTCCTCCTAAGAGTTGGGTCCTATTTCTATTCGCCATGCCTACTCCAGAGCCTTGGAGTGGCGAAGAAGCACTCACGAAAGGGTCTGAATAAGTGGACGCAGCATTCGTTAGGCTTGCCACTTCAGAAGTTGGCATACCATAGAATGGAATAAATCCTGGGGGAACCACAGGCCTTGTGCCTATATTTCCCCTTGGTGGGGGAGTTCCCAAAGGTATTCTGGGGCCTGTAAACGAAGTTATTGGCCCCGTGGTTGTGACTGACACTGCTGGTGTCGAACCAACATTCGTCGCTTCACTTACGGTCATATTAACCGTTGCTCCCACACTCGTTTGTGGGATTTCGTTATTGTTTGGCGGATTCGCCATCTCTTCCCTTCTTCTGGCAATATTGTTATCGTTGGTGTATATTCTACCACTCCTCAATAACATACAACTCGAAAAGATGAGATTATTTTCAACAATCAACACACAGTCCCATCAGGTGTGCCAATTTGTTTACCTTGGGTTTTGGTAAACAACCGCTGATCCTCCAAATGGTTACTTATTTGGTTACTCGCAGGATCGATCAGATTGATCCTATGGACATAGGTTGATTTTGAAGTTTGATTAAATTGGATAAGGCTTTAAGTAAATTGTTTCAAGTAAATTGCATAAAGGAAAGGCTTGGTAAAATAAACAAGGCTTTAAAGTAAAGGTTCGACAGAAATTTAAAGGAGAAAAGCAAGTAAAATGCTGGAAAAGTAAATGACTTTAATTGATAAAATTGGTGTTTCACACATACATTTCTCAACAATTCTTTCGCTCACACTGGGTACTTGAATCTAAATGAGTGACTATGTATATAATTGTGAACACACGCGAGAAACTACATGTCTACTCCTATTTATACTAAAACATTCCAAGTAACCGTCGGGCAGTTACACTGCTTCGAGATCAAGCCACTTGGCACGTTCTCCATGCTCGACGCTCCAGATCCTTGCACGTTTGCACGTAGTAACTGCTGGAAACCGTTTTCCCTCCAAAGCTTTGAATTTCAAACTGCTCCACTCTGGACCATCGAACACTTTCATCAAGAGACGTCTTCGACGAAAACTCCTTCGACGTCGAAGGCAACCAGCCTTCTTCCTTGGAAGAAATCTTCCAAGTATTTTGCCATCTTTCGACGGGCACTTCGACAGACTTAGCCAGTCGAAAGCATCTTTTAGCTTTTAATGGCTGACATCAATCAAAACAAAGGTGTCGAATTTAGGAGCCAACAGTAAGCCTGTGAAGAAGCGGCGAGAGAAATACTGTGCCGGGGGGGTATAAGTGTTGTGCTGGACGGCACAAGGTGAAGGAGCGTGTCGAGGGACACACGAGCATGTCGACCGACATGGTTTAGAGAGGAGTGTGTCGAGCGGCACAACTCCATGACGAGCGGCATGGCCTTTTAGTTTTATGTCGAGGGGCACAGTTGGGTGACGAGTGTCATACCCCAAATTTGCATGCCTTAATGCTACCGCTAAAGTTATTTTCGAACTTGGGTTTTACAGAGTATAAAATTCCTTTGATTTAATTATCATTCTGAGGTTATTTTAATAAAAATTTGCTTTCAAGTCTATTTGAAAATATAATAATAATAATTTGTATTTTTAAAAATAGAAAATATAATAATTATTTGTATTTTTTAAAAAATAATTGTTCGCCTTCATATACTTTTAATTGGCTTTTTTACTTTTGAATAAGTAACATAGCACAGTTGGTAAGGGAGAAAGACTGGTCAGCAGAAGGTCACAGGCTCAAATCTCACTTGATGCTCTTTGGATATTTTTACTGTTTATTTTTACTAACTTTATTTTCATTTTTCTAAACACAAAAATCATATTTTTATTATTAAATTATTATTTTCGTATTTATTTACTTATTATATTTTAAAAATATTATTTTTATTAAAATATTTATTTTATTTAAAAAATAGTCAAAATAACTTATAAATAGATACAAGGGTTAAATATATTTTTGATCTTTATAAATATCTCAAATTTCATTTTTAATCTCTATTAAAAAAATGACAAATTTTGGTCCCTAAAAATTTTTTGTTCATCCAGATGTAGACTCTGCTATTTTCTAAAATTTTAAAAATTGTTTAATTACCCTTAAACTTTTAAATTTTTGAATAATAATTTTCATATGTGTTTAGAATACTATAAAATGTTTTTTTAATCAAATTTTAGAATTTTTTAAAATGAGAAGAACTAAATATAATTTTTTTTAAAATTTCAAAAGATATTGATAAAAATAATAAAAATCTCGACTGAGAAATCAAATTTTGAATTTCTTTTTTTCAAGGAACTTTTTATAATGTTCTAAACATATCTACAAAATAATCATTCAAAAATACGCATTGATTTAACAATAAGGACTTAAACTATGTGCATAATAATTTTGTAGGGACTAAAACATATCATTATTTTAATAAGGACTAAAAATAAAATTTGAGATATTTATAGGGACCAAAAACATATTTAACCCTAGATAAAATCTAATTTGGTCCTTTTATTCATTTTTGGGCTAGCTTTCTCTCAAAGTCTTTTTAACCTAATTTTATTATGTAAATAAGACTCATGGTTGTCCTAATTTTGCATCAACAATTCATCCACAAATTAACAATTCATCTAGAAATGTTCATAATTTTCAAGTATCAACTATCATACAAAATTTTGTAATTTTCTTAAATACACACAATTAGTCAATTTTACTAACACACATTTTTTCAAATTTCTCTGTTTTTCTAACAATTTTGGCCGATGATTCAAGTACGAGGCCTCTCGTTTATTTTCAATTGTTTTCAATTTTATTTTTTAAAACCAAATAATAGTTCTCATTTCAAATGGTTCTTTTTTTCTACGTATCAACAATTATCAATAATGTTTTAATACTTTCTCTTGCACTTCACACATAAAACCTTTTGCAATTATTTTTAAGCTGAAAATGTTGTAATTTAATTAATAGATAAAAGTTGAAATTGTTTTATAATTGTGTCTCCTTCACCATAATGATTTATACCATTTTTTCTAGGAAATTCAATCAACCGTCATCATAATTTCTAACATAATTTTACACATGTTCTTCAAGTTTTTGCACTAAAAAAATATTATAGACACAACTACATAACTTGTTTATATATGTTGGAATTGAACTTCTGGATTTTTTCTAACATTGATTCTAACAGTATTCCCTTATAAACAAAATGCCCTGTAAATTGTTTATTGATTGTTTTCACATCAACAAACTCAAAACAGAAAAAAGAGGGAGAATTAGAATAAGCAAAAGAGAAAGATTAACGTCGAATTCATCGCATATCTGAAGCTTTCCGCCACTACACAACATTGTCGTCCCACATCTCGGACGGAACCACACCACCACAGCAAGCTCGAAACGACAGATCCTCAGTCAGTGTTCCCTCCGACCATCGCAGATCCGCCGTCCAAACTGGCGCCCACTACCGTTACGCTTCCCGATCTCAGCCTCTTGCGTACCTCCGCTAGAAACCGCGCAGCCCCTTCTGCGACAACTCTCAACCCACTCCGACCGCCAAGCTTAATTTGATCCCTTCGATCAACACACACGGGCCTGCAACAACCCAGCCACAAATCTACTGAAAATCAAACCACCATGGACCGCACTGCCATAGCCCGCATACTAGATCCGCCATTATTCACCAAACCGGATCACCGTCTGTGCGACACCGCCGTGCACTGTTATTGATGCAAGCCGCCGACCCTCCGTCAACCAGCGACTTCTCCGTAGCATCGCCATGAGCACAACCCATTGCCATGCTCACCGTTTAACCGTCTCCGCGCGTGAAAATCTGTCACCCACATTATCTAGTACTTATTCTCTTTTATTCTGGAGTTTGTGTAGGTTATTGTGGATGTTATTTTGTGTTTATGATTGATAAGAAGAAGTAACGATATATGAAAAAGAGAGAAATGGATTTACGTTCTTACTTTTTTTTTTGACATGTTAAACACTAAATATGTATATCTGGTTCTAATTTTTCCGTTATTTTTATTTAAAATACACGTGTCAAAATTTTGATGGCCCTTGGTTTAGATAGGGAGTGGACCGAATTATTATAGGTGTTATTGCAATTTTTTTGTTTTTTCTCTTCTCTTTTTACAGTTTGTTTTATTAGTAATATGGTAGAATCGGGTTTGGTACTTAATGGGATTTGGGCCTAACCATTTTCTACTCACCCCCTTTTAAGCCATTTGTATTTCTATTATAGTCTATTAGAATAACTATTATTGAGATTATTGTTACAACATTAGTTTCATCTTTAACTAATTAACATAGTTCATTAAGTTATTTAGCTAATCATTAATCAGAAGACTAAAAAAACTTATATTTTGTATATATTTTAATTCTTCGATTAAAATAAAAATTAATTTGATATTTTACATCAAGATATTAAAACACGCAATTTCAAGTATTTCATCTGCAAGCGACACGTGGCTAAAATCTGGCCACGTGGCAAGGAAGACTATATCAGACTTCCTCTGCATCCTTCATAACAAGCAATACAAAGTCAATATTTGACCACGTGGCGAGGAGACTATATCAGACTCCCCGCCTTACGTCTCAAAACAGCTAACCAGCAATTCAAACGTTTTTTACTAACCTAACAAAAACCACAAGATATTTTCGAAAAAGATTAAGGGGAATTAATTTCAAATTAACTACGAACCACGTCTACAATCACTCAATTTACAACCCTGACAAAGTTCATGGATTAATTCGAAAGCGGTACTGCGTAATCTATAAAAGACACCAACCAACTGTGAACTATGAAGTAAGACTCTGATTCCTCCTAAGAGGATACATAGGCATACGATTAAAATCGTGGCGAGTTCCCCAATTAAAAATTAAAATCCTTTTTTCCTATTAAAAATTAAAAACTTTTTTCCCCTAATTAATATTAAAACCCTTTTCTTAAAAATGCGCTTCTAATCCTAGTATCCTTGTGAACAAGGTAGATGAGGGGGTGCCTAACACATTCCCTTCATCTAAAACCGAGTCAACAATCTAAAATCTTTGTAACTTTTAGGGTTATTCCTTTATACTCATTTCCTTAGAATAAAAATTAAGGGTGACGACTTCAATTAAAAAACCAGTTGCAACAACGAGGGGCACACCCTAAAAATCTGTTTTCTGTTTCCTTTTGGTTGCTTTGTTCCTGTGTGCCTGTTACCTTATTCTGTTAATTGTTTAATAGCAGAAATTAAGTACACAAATAGTAGAACTGACTTATATAGCAGAGTAATGAAATAGATGATTGGATTAGATTATAGAGTAAATAAGTATTTAGCAGGATGACCTTAACAATAAAATATTTTAGTAGAAGTGAATTAATAGGACTTGGTCGATAATAGTATTGATTTATATAAGTCGCTGTGACGTGGTTGTTATTAATTGTCGAAGTTGCAGGCAGGGATGAATTTTGTTGTATTGTCTATATTGATTGGCTAAAACCAAGTTGTAGGCTATTAACAATAAAACAATAGCAGAGATAATTCATGGTAGTAGGAGATAAATCATAGTAGTAAGATGTAATTGCAGGAACCTTATCGGAAAACTATTAGCAGTATAAAAGCATAGTATATGTAGTAGGAATAAGTTGATAGTAGGAGTTAATTGTGAAATAGTGACATAAAGCTATTAGCAATAAAACAATACTAGATAATTAATTAGTAGCACTGGCAGTAGTGGAAATTGTTGTTGTTGTTGTTAAAATGACTATAATTCTTGGCAGATAAGTTGTAGGCTTGTTGCCAAAGTTGAATCATGTTGAGTCGATAGTGAATTATTATTGATGTTATAGGCTTATGGGCAATGTTGATTTATGTTGAGTTAATGTTGAATTGTTGTTGATGTTATAGGCTTATGACCAATGTTGATTTATGTTAAGTTGTTATTTGTTGTTGTTATTGTTGCTACATTCATGTTGTGTCGTCTACATCGCATATCAAGTTGGAGTTGATGCTCGTTAAGTTGGCCTAGATTGACAAAATATTAAGTTGAAGGCTTATGCCTTGTTGATGCCTCTATTAATTGGCAGATTATTAAGTTGGGAGTTTTGCTCCGTTGGTACCACTTGCATTTGCATTGTAACAAGTCGCATTTCATGTTGCATCCTAAGTTGTGATGATGATGAATTGGTTGTGATATTATGTTGATGACTTGGTTGTAATGGATGTCGTTTAAAAGCTATGAAGCAGTGATTTTTTTTATCTGATTCTAATATATTATTTATCATACATTCTATTTTATTGTTGGATATCTTACCCCCTTCTGTTTGAATGTTATCCCTATGTTGGAAACGTACAGGTAATCCAGAGTGAAGGTTGTTACCTTCAGTAGTTCGAGTCGGTGTCGTCGCTCTGATACGTAACACTCGGGGGGTTAAACGCTTGTTGCTTGATCGTTGTGATTACTTTAGTTGTTGAATTTTAAGTTGATTTCATTAAGTACTTTTTATTTTAAAAGTTGTTTTCAGTTAGACAAAGATGTTATGTCATTTGAGTTGAAAATTGTGATTCAGCTGCTTAATTATAAAAGTTGTTTTATTTTCAAAGACTAATTTATGTTGCTATGGTTCATACGAGTTTTAAGTGTTATGTATCTATGTTACACGCGATTAAATGCCGTTGTTATAAGTTGTAAGTGTAGCATCCTATTTGTTTGTTGAAAATTTTGTAACTATGATTTTATCAATATTCGCCGGGTAGAAATGGGGTGTTACACTTAACACATTACCAAGAGAAATATAAATTCTCAACATGTCAGGACATCATGTATGACAACTCTTCACATCAGTCCAATCTAGAACATGGACTCCCCCTCAAAACCTTCTAAGTAACACTTTAGTGAATATAAAATTCTCCCCCTCATTAGCAGCAATATATCAGTGGTTAGTTAGACCACACACACATTACTCCCCCTTTTTAGCCATAATATGACAAAGAAAATCTAACCATAAAACAAATTAGCACAAAAGAATATTCAGAAGACAAACCATAGAACAACAAGCACACATCAAGTGCACGCATATCCTATAGATAAAAAACTACAAACATAATGATATGTCAATGATAATATGCAGTTACAAAAACACAACCTTTATGAACTATACAAGTTCACACATCCGGCAAGATGTCATAACATTTGGTAAGACATCATGCACACACACACCATCATCAACAGTAGCAACAGAAGCACATTATAACATTGGGAACAAAAGAATCTTGATCACCTTCAGGTGGTCTTCCACCTCTTTCCCATGTCAAATAACCTACTGCACTCCTTGATTATGTCACATGTTTTAGGAGTGTTACCACTGAACTCCCTTGTCAACACCTCAGAATATGTCTTCTTCAAATCATCCCTTTGCAGAGATCTTTTGTTTATGAATCCTCCTTTCTTGTCCATTGTACCAGAAAGTGTCTTCCCTGAATCTCACCCAAAAACAGAGAAGGATGCCTGTTGTACCCCAAAATTTGCCCTCCCATTTCCTCAACATTTTCTCATCACAAAACCCTTGAAGATCAAGATCCAGTTAGGGTTTCCTCTGCTCAAGACTTCTCCTTGCACTGTGGACCCAAATTAGGGTTTGTGGTTGAACAAAGATGTTTTGACCTAAAATGCCTAATATGACTTTCATGCTTCATGTTGGACTCCCAAGTTTATCCATACCAAGTTTCAAGTTTTGATTCCAAGTTTTGCCCAGTCAATTGGACAGATGACCTAGAAATCAGCTGTATTGGGGAAAAAGTCAACTGTGGCCAATTGACAGTCAAATCTCATGAAAATTGATCCACATCAACATTATGAACTCATATGGACCATTTGATCAAGTTTGGATCACAATTCCACAAGAAATTTGATCAGATCATCAAAAGGGCAAAATGGTCATTTTTAGGGTTTTGACTGCACAAAGGCAATGTTTGACTGTTTGACCTAGCCAATGGCAAACCAAGCTCACATATGGACTCAAGGACCCCATGGAATTATCTTGACATGCTCAACAAACTCAAAAGATCCCAAGTACACAAGATTGACAGTTGAATTTCCCAGTCAATTGATCAATTTTGACTGTATACTGAAAAGTCAAACTTTGACTTTTTGGTCAAAATCAAGAGTCAAGATTCATTTTTCATCAAAACATGCCAAATCATGAAACTTGTTCACCAAGAAACCAAGAAATGCAAATTAGGGTTTGAAATGAGAATTTTTCATAACTTAGAATTTTTCTAAGTTATGGAAAACCCTAATTTTTCCCCAACTTTGCCTCACTTTCTCACCAAGATTCATTTGGATTCAAACAAAAGTCAAAACATGAAAGTTGTAGCTTGTTGCATAATCTACAACTTTGATTCACAAAGTTTTCCCAAATGAGGCTTGTATCTCAAGTTACAAATTTTTGAATAAGGGCACTAAACCATTCATAACTTAGTGAAAATTTGACCTTTTTGACAAGGTTTTCTACCTAACTTCAAGGCCATTTTCCATACACTTCCACTTGGAATTTCAATTTGCATTTCAAAGATGGATTGTAGTACACATTCCAAGCTTTCCAAAATGTCCAAGAACTTCTCAAACAACCTCATGGTTAGGGAGAATCGAATTTTGCAAAATGGGGAAAAGTCACTTTTGTTCTTGGCCATGTACATGTTCATAACACTATGCATTTTAATCTCAGCATGCTTAAGCTACATTACAGGTCCTAAAACCCTTTGACACTCATAAATTTAATGCAAAACCATTGTGCCAAGTTGT